GATCACAATGATGTCTTTGATCCAGTCTATGACAAGAAGGTACATGTTGATGCAGAGTGGTTCTTTATGAAGGAAGTTAAGAGCAACACATATTAGCTTGATGAAGGGCTCAAAACAGTTGGCAAAAAACCTTCAAAGCAGCATATAAAGAAAGTTATGTTCATACGTAATGACAAGGCCCAGATTTGATCATAGACAAAATGCTTGATTTGATGGAAAGCTTGGCATCTGGCCTCTTGTGGAATACAGACCAGCTCAGAGATCTTCCAAAAATTGCCTCAGAGGCACAATGGAAGCCCACTGTATTAATGTCAATGAAGAAGTGTACAAGAATATGGTGGTTGAGAAAGTCCTAACTGCTAGTATTTACACCAAGAACTTTTCAAGAGATAATGGAGATCTTCCCAGTTGCATCATTCAGGGAGACAATGCAAGGCCTCACAATTAAACAACAGAGCAGCTATCAGCTACAGCTTGTGCTAACAACTGGAATATTGTTGTGAAGCCACAACCACCAATCTGCAATGTTTTTGCTTTGGGATTTTTAAATTCTATCCAAGCATCCAGCACAAGAAGTGGTCTTCTAATCAGAACACATTGATTGTCAATGTGATTGCTGCATTTGCAGAAGCCAAACAACAAGAGACTCTTAACAATATTTCTCTGTCTCTGCAGTGTGCAATAGTAGAGGAATCACTTGGTGTTGGTAGAGACAACACATACAAGATTTGACACATGGGAAAAGCAAAGTTTGCTTGTCAAGGTAAGCTTGCAGTGTCAATCACTTGTGGCCCAGACAATATGGCCATTGTACTTTTAGTAGTACTAGCAGACTACTACAATATTAGTACAAATACTAGTGGTGGTACCAGAATAGGAGCAATATTAGTACTAATACTCTCTCTTAGTAATGGTAATATGAATGATAACACACTACTAGATATAGTACTTATTCTACACATTCTAAAGGGTCACATAAAACTGGACTATTATTTAGGAAAATATAGAGTAGGGGAAACTGGACTATTGCTTATTTAGTAATGGAGGTARAAGATAAAAATATGTCCTCATTTTTTTCATCATAATTAGTGGTAGTACTAGTACTCCTATCACCAGCACTAACAATTAGCCACCCTCTCTAGTAGTAGTAATAATAATAATAGCAATAGTGGTAAAAGTACTAGTATTATTTGTTCTTGTTGTTTTAATAGCAGCTGCAGCAGTAATACATTACTACTACACTGGTGGTAAAAATTTGAAAAACCGCACCAGCACCACTACTACTAGTAGTAGTATTGTTAATAGTATCATTTCTGCCACTGCTGTCATATTGAATGGATGATGATAGAAGTA